GGCAGGTGGAAAAGGCTTTGTGCCGTCCCTGCTCCGAGGGCATCCTCAGCACAGCCCTGAAGATCTCCACGTAGGACAACACAATGAAAATAAAACAGACAAATGCTAAGACAGCACTTAGGACCAGAAGCCAAATTTCTCCATGGTAGGAGTTTGAGCATGAGAGCTTGAGGATCTGGGGGATTTCACAGAAGAACTGGTCCAGGGCATTGCCCTGGCAGAGGGGCAGGGAAAATGTATTGGCTGTGTGCAGCAGAGCATTGAGGAACCCAGTGGCCCAGACAGCTGCTGCCATGTGGACACAAGCTCTGCTGCCCAGGAGGGTCCCGTAGTGCAGGGGCTTGCAGATGGCAACGTAGCGGTCGTAGGACATGATGGTCAGAATATAAAACTCTGCTGAAAGAAAAAGGAGAGCACCCCCTGTGTAGGAGATGTCCCTGGGGCCCCGCAGGGAACAGGCCATGGCTTTGGGGAGAATAGTGGAGATAGCACCCAGGTCCAGGACAGCGAGGTTGAGGAGGAAGAAGTACATGGGGGTGTGGAGGTGGTGGCCCCAGGCTATGGTGGTGATGATGAGGCTGTTGCCCAGGAGGGCAGCCAGGTAGATGCTCAGGAAGAGCCAGAAGTGCAAGAGCTGCAGCTCCCGTCTGTCTGCAAAGGCCAGGAGGAGGAACTCACTGATGGAGCTGCTGTTGGACATCTTACCCCTTCGTTCACGAGGCCCTGCAGCAGGAGCAAAGCACACTCATAAGTTAGGGTTACTCTGAAAAAATCTCTTTGATTCCACGCCCCCCCAAACATACTATCTGTCCCCTTCCTTTCAGGACCTTCACACATCTCCTTGGCTTGTCGTCAGGTCTGTAATAGCCAAACGTGCCATTAGGAGCAGGGCTCTGCCCATGAGCTCGCAGTCAGTGATCTCTGCTCTACAGCAACAGGCACCTGGGAAAGGGGCTCACAGATTCTGAAATTCAACATTTCCCTCGTTTCTTCCCCACCTGGAATGAAGAGGCACTGTCCAGCATCTCCCTGCAGAAGAAGCCCTGGTAAAACTCCTGGATCAGCCCAAACGGG